AGAGTTTTGCTTTAGGATCAGTTCACTGTCCGGTCTTACCCATTTGATGGATTTGTGGATTCCAAATCATCTTTGTTTCCTGGTAGCTGTAACCTGAAACAAAGGAACAAAATCAGGGTTGTTTAGAGACAAGAAGGGAAATCTCAAGGGATTGAAAAGCAGCTGAAAGGCCAGCTATTGTCTGAGGAACATGATCGTGAGAGCCACAGAAACGCAGACACTGATACATGTGGACACTCCCAGGTTACTTATTTCTTTGAGGACATTTCTCCAGAATAAACATGAAAGTTTTAAAAAAATGTCTGGGAAATGGGTCTAATATCTGGACACACAGTATCTCTGGAAAGATCTGATCACAGAAGGACTCAAAAACATATTCAAATTTCAAGCTTATGACCCAGAATATGCTTTTATCTGTTAAATCTACATTAATGTATGTCCTTCAGTGGTTTTGAATTCAGAGACACTCACCTGAAGTCTGTGATGATTGGATCCAGTTCTGGACTGTTTATGACTGACAGCCTGGGAAAAGAAATAAAAGTCTGTCACTGTATGACAGCATATCTGTAAGAGTTAAAATGAGAACAACTATCATCATACTGTTATCAAATGTGTTATGCGCACAGTAAGCAGCACAGGGTTTGTCGTTTCTTTTGTTATACTGCTGATTGTTCCTGACAGTAAGAATGAATGACTGTGAGCACAATGTGAACGTACCGGCTCGGGAGGTCAGGGCTGTCAGGTATGTCTTGTGCCTGCTCGGCATCCCTGTGAAGAGGTCAGAGGTTAATTTAGAGGGAACATAAGAATGGATCTCATGAAGGTGACAGGAGGATGTGTGCTCGGACTCTGGAGGTCTGATCTGAAGACCTGAGGAGGACTCAAGGGTTTCGTACAGATAGTTTAAATTTAAACCAGCAGCAAAAGGAAACAACAAGGAAGCAAATGTCAGCAGTAACACACGATTAAAATAGGCTGAAGCTGTTTATTTCTCATATTTTGTGCTATAAACTTTAAAATATGTATGGTTTAAGTGCTTCTAGCCAATATGAAGCTTCTGAAACAGCATTCAGGCCTCAACAATCTCCTTTTACACATATAAATCTTTAATTCCTAGGTTAGAGTTACATCAGTGCTTCCCAGCTTCCTTAGCTTGTGGCCTATTGAGCACTCAGCAGTTTGGACATGTGACCCCTCATCACAGGGTGAGTGTCTGTGTCTTACCTCCAGTTATACAGCATTTTGGTGTAATCATCTTGTACTCACTTAAATCTATTTTTGTGACAGCTTATGGGTGTCCTGACCTCCAGGTTTGGAGCCACTTTGTTAGAACATAGTCCTAATATCTAAGTAGGCTATTGCCTTTTTTCAACAAATTATTTTACGAATGCAGCTTTAGAGATGAGACACACAAAAAAAAGGCATTAAAATTTTTTAAAAAGAACTAAAACTTACTTACTTAAATTACTTAAATAATTATATTATATTTAGTAAGTACATTTCGGGCACACAGCTTTTACACTGAAAGCCTGCTTGCCCACATCATGAATGCTGTCTAACAGGCTTAGTTAAGAGACTGAACAAGACTTAATGAGAGGAAGGATCGTGAAAAAAACAACTTCATACAGTGCATATGAATCTACAGTAGAAACACATGACTGAACTTCACAGATCATATCTCTGTATAAACCTGCTCTGAGGACAGTGTGTGTGTGTGTGTGAGTGTGGTCTGAAGAGGCTTCAGGACATGTTGTGCTTTACACAACAATCTCAGTGCAATGACTGTCACAGTTACATTATGATACTCATAAAGTGCGATTCTCACTGTTGGCCGCAGTATGAACAGACAAGTACCGACACAGTTCGGACTTTTGCACTGATTTCCTGAAGCTTACTCACTTTTTGCTGTCATCTTTCTTCACGCTTCGTCTCCAGTTCTTAATAAAACTCATTCCACAGCACTGGGGTCCGGTGAAACAGCAGAATTACACCGCACAGAGCAGGTTAGTACACGGCGGACATGGACGGACAGACAGACAGACAGGAGAGGAGTCGCTCACACAGAGAACACCTTGACACAAATGAAGGTACAACAGCTGCTGTGTGCGTCTTCCTCTTTCCTGACGTTGGAAGGTGTGTTTCCCCCATCACCATCATAATGACTCTCCTATTTAAATGCACTGCAATGTGCACTACTCCAGGTCCTGGCTGCATGGTCCTAAAGCCCTCCTTGTTCAAATCCAAAGTGTTCCATCATCATTAGACTATTTTAAATACTATATTTATTTACTGTATTTATAAAAAATAAAA